GGAGCACACCTGTAATTACAGTGACTCCCGGGGGTTAAGGCAAGAGGATTGCCAAGTTCAAGTCCAGTCTCAGCAACTCAGCAAAGCCCTAAGTAACTTAGTGAGAGCCTGTCTCAAAATAAATAAAATAAAAAGGGCTGGGGGTGTAGCGCAGCCATCTTCAAGAGAAGCCATTTTTTTCTTGGAGTCAATCTATTGCTGTTCCTTTACTGTCAGTCAAAAGTCAAAAGATGACCCTGAGTGGGACCCTGGACACTTCCCAGGAACCCCCAATAGAATTGGAGGACAGGAGGGGTGTGCTATTTCTCTCTGAGAGGACCCTTGTCTCCCTTGAGAATGTCCCATTTTCTCCAAAGCTATTTATTAGAAACAAGGCTTGGCTGTTAGAAGAGCAATTACCCTGGAAATTTTTGTTGTTGTTGGTAGAGGGGTTTAATCTCAGGAGTGCTCTGCCACTGAGCCACATCCCTAGCCCTTTTTATTTTGAGGCAGAGTCTTTAAGTTGCTCAGGTTGCAAACTTATAATCTTCTTGCCTTAGCTTCCTGAGTTGCTAGGTGCAGGACTATGAGTTTTTGTTTATTTGTTTTTTGTTTTAGTTGTAGATGGACACAATGACTTTATTTATTTATTTATTTTTAATGTGGTGCTAAGGATCAAACCTCATACATGAAAGGCAAGCGCTCTACCTCTGAGCTACAACTCCATCCCAGGCCTGTGGGTTTTTGACCCACAATGTGTTGTGACAATAATATTACCATGCTGTTTTTTCTATATGGCTCAGAACCAGGCTTTGAAGATGCCAACTGAAGTCCAAACTTGTGTTGAATGATGAAATAAGTGCTTTGTTTTCCTGGGGACTATGTTGGAGGGAAAAAACTTATGCCTCATTGCTTTGTTCTCACACCTCCTCTATCTGTGGAGAAATATACTATTGGTTTTACCTAGTGATTTGGAGGTCTGAAAGAGTGTGCAGGTGGGAATCTGTGGAGTCTCCCTCAGAAGGAAAGAAAGGAGACTTCGGATGGGAATTTGATCCACCCATTGCTTTGAACTCATGGGCCTCTTATTTTAATCATGAAGGCTTCTTTGGTTTTAGGTGGAAAGGAATTTGAGAACAAAATTTGTTTGTAGGGTTGAGGATATAACTCAGTGGAAGAGAGCTTGCCTAGTAGTCATAGGGCCCTGGGTTTTACTCCCAACACCACAATACACATTAATTGGTTTGTTCTTAAAATTCCTTGTGCTTATGCACAGGCTGTTCTGGGAAGTCAAATTAGATTGACCCAGCAGAGCTTTACCACTGAGTACATCCCTGGCCCGTTTTTTAAACTTTATTTTGAGCCTGATGCAGTGGTGCATGCCTATAATCCCAGTGGCTTGGGAGGCTGAGGCAGAAGGATCACAAGTTCAAGACCAGCCTCTGCAATTTAGCAAGGCTCTTAGCAATTTAGTGAGACCCTGTCTCAAAATAAAAAATAAACAGGGCTGGGGATGTGGCTCAGTGATTAAGCAGCTCAGTGGTTAAGCACCCCTGGATTCAATCCCTGGTATCAAAAACAAACAAAACCTCTAAAAGCCTTTATGTTGAGACAGGGATTCACTGAATTGCCCAGGCTGGTCTTGAATTTGCAGTTAGACCTCCTGCCTCAGCCTCCTAAGTGACTAGGATTACAGGTGTGTGTCAGCATGCCTAATAAAGAAGAAAAAAAATAGCCAAAGAAGATAAACAGATGGCAAATAAGCATATACAAAAACACTCAATATAAAACATCATTAAGGAAATGCAAAATAGAATAGTGTTGAGATACCAGTATATACACTCATTACTATGGTTAAAATCCCAAAGATAGACAATACCAAATCCTGACAAGGATGTATAGCCACAGGAACTCTCATTCATTGCTGGTGGGAATACAAAATTGCACAGTCTCTCTAGTTTTTTCATAAAATTAAACAAAGTTTTACTATATGATTCAGTCATTACTCTCCTATTTACCTAAAAGAGTTGAGAACTTAACATCTATACAAAAACCTTCATCAATGCTTATAAGCAGTTTTAGTTATAATTGCCCCAAATTGGAAGTGACCAAGATAGTCTTTAATAGTTGAATGGATAAACAATGGTATACCCATATGAATGGAATGTATTCTATGCTAAATAGAAATAAACTACACTAAGCTAGAAAAACATACTGCTAGGGGAAAGAAGTCAATCTGAAAAGGCTACATACTATGGGATTCCAACTATATAACATTCTAGAAATGGCAACTCTAGAGACAATGGTTGCCTGAGGTTGGGAAGGGTTGGAGGGAAGAATGGATAGGTGAAGCATAGGAGATTATTAGAGCAGCAAGACAATTCTGTTTGATATGATAGTAGGGGATATGTGACATTATACATTTGGCAAAACCCATAAAACTGTAAACAAAAACCTCACAGCTGCTTATAGGGGCAACTGGTTGGGGGAGAATGAGTATATAGGAACCCTGTTATTTTAAGTTCATTTTTTTGTAAATCTAAAAATCACTCTAATAAATACTTTATTTATAATTAAAATAACAAAATTACAGAATCACTGGGTATATATTTCTATTTATTGGTTTTTGGGAGGTTTTTTTGGTACCAGGGATTGAACCCAGGGGCACTTAATCACTGAGCCTCATCCCTAGTCCCTATTTTGTATTTTATTTAGAGACAGAGTCTCAGTGAGTTTCTTAGCACCTCGCTGTTGCTGAGGCTGGCTTTGAACTTGCGATCCTCCTGCCTTAGCCTTCCTAGCTGCTGGGATTACAGGCGTGTGCCACCGTGCTTGGCTTCCCCAGCCCTTTTTATATTTTGTTTAGAGACAGGGTCTCACTGAATTGCTTAGAGCCTCGCTAAGTTGCTGAGGCTGACTTTGAATTTTCAATCCTCCTGCCTCAGCCTCCTGAGCTGCAAGGATTACAGGCATGATCCACAGCACCTGGCTACACTATCTTTGTTTATACTCCAGTAACAGAAGTTTAATCTGTTAGATCAAGTATGGTCTTTTGTTGTTGTTTTACTTTGCATTTCCTTGCATATTACTTAGGTTGAGGATCTTTTCCAGATTGTTGGACTTTCCAAGTTTTCTGGTTATGATTTGGTCTGTCTGATCTGTTCTTGCCTATTTTCCCAGATGATTGATTTTTCCCCCCTGCATTGGGACCTCCCGCATGATGGAGAAGCACTATACCACTGAGCCACACCCCAGCCCTACTGTTCACCTTTTGATTGTGAATTTGTAGAATTTAAACAATTTTAGCATATTAATAACTCCACTTTGTATGTTACAAATGTTTTGTACAATTTGTCATCTCTGTCTGAACTTGTCTTTGTCTTGCCCCACAGGAAGTTTTAAGTTGGAAGGGGACTGCCTGAAAATTTATTTCTGGGGAGACATAATCTCAGCCAGCCCTCTAGGTACACCCCATTTTTCTGGCTGGCTTTAGCCTTTTTTGTTCCTGAGTCTCCACACTGAACCCAGAGCTCTCTGGTCCAGCATGTACACGAAGGCTTCTTTTGGTCATGTTCTGAGTCCGGCATGGTTTTATCTAATGGGATGAACCTGGTTAAAGAGATTAGCAAGATGTCTTGTGACTCCCACTTTTAATCTGCAGTGTTCAGGCTACTGTTTGGCTGGGAAGGGTGCTACAGAAACGACTCCCCAGACTTGCCCCCGCTACCGTTACTGAGTTAACGGGGGTCCCAGGATAGGGAGCCCAACATGGGCAACCCCCAGAACAGCTCCCTTCAGCCTGGGCAGTCTGCACCCTTCTCAAGGCCCTGAGTGGTCAGTCCCTGGGCTCACTCAGGTTAAGAGTGGGAGCTGTGTTGCAGGAGGCTATCTGGACAGCATTTGGCAAGGATGGCACTGCTGAAAGTCAAATTTGACCAGAAGAAGCGGGTCAAGTTGGCCCAAGGGCTCTGGCTCATGAATTGGCTCTCCGTGTTGGCTGGCATCATCGTCTTCAGCTTAGGGCTATTTCTGAAGATTGAACTCCGGAAGAGAAGTGATGTGATGGATAATTCAGAGAGCCATTTTGTGCCCAACTCCTTGATAGCGGTGGGGATGTTGTCCTGTGTCTTCAACTCTCTGGCTGGCAAGATCTGCTATGATGCTCTGGACCCTGCCAAGTATGCCAAGTGGAAGCCCTGGCTGAAGCCATACCTGGCTATCTGTGTCCTCTTCAACATTGCCCTCTTCCTTGTGGCTCTCTGCTGTTTTCTGTTGCGGGGCTCATTGGAGAGCACCCTGGACCAAGGGCTCAAGAATGGCATGAAGTACTATCGGGACACAGACACCCCTGGCAGGTGTTTCATGAAGAAGACCATGGACTTGCTGCAGATCGAGTTCAAATGTTGTGGCAACAGTGGCTTTCGGGACTGGTTTGAGATTCAGTGGATCAGCAACCGCTACCTGGACCTTTCCTCTAAAGAAGTCAAGGAGTGAGTAGTCTCTAGTCCTGGGGCCAGATCTATGTGGGGACACTGAGGCCCAGGCCTCTGACTCCCCACCCCATCCAGTCCCTTTTCCTCTACAGTGGGTATACAACTTATTAGTATGTTATAAAGGGGCATTAGATTGGATCACATGAAATTGCCATTATCCTAGCCCTTTTGGTCTGTGAAAATGGCAACTCCATACAGTTCAACCTAATGTTTGGCTGAGGTGGAAGGAAGGTGTCAAGTTATATAAGCTGCTTGAATAAGAATCCCCAGGAGGGAGATATAGTCAGGTATGTGTGTACGCTTTCTACTGCAGGAATGGGGTCATTCATGGTTCACATACATTGAGACATTTGGTACTTGTTTCTTTAATCAAAGGAGGTGGATTCAGTCCCAGAAGTTTAAAATTTCTGATACATTCCCTAGCTTTCCAATTTTGAACCCTGAGCATCCACTCCCAAGGCATTGTTCTTAGACATGGTGGAATCTAATCAATACCATTTTCTTTATGGGTACAGAGCAGAGGATGGGAGCAGTCAGAGCTAGGCTGTAGTTCTGGCTTAAGGCCTTGGGCAAGTCACTTGCTTCTGTGAGTCCTTGATTGCTCATCTTTCAAATAAATGCAGGTGCTCTTGGAGCTCACCTCTCAGCTCTATGCAGAGCCTGGCATCCAGCAAATGCTCATGAAATGCCTGCTGGTGTTTACTTCTGAAATCATGATAGCACAATACACTCAAGTATTTCTAAGGTATTCTTGGCATATATAAAAAGGAAATCCTGCAGGGGCCGAGGGGAGGTGATGGTGAGAAAGAATCTCCGCATGTGTGTTCACAATGACAACCTGTGTACTGACTCCAGTGGATGGCTCTTCCCAGAAGACCCACTGTGGTGGGTCTGAAGTGACTGTCCAGGGAAGGCAGCCTGCCCTGAGCCCCTGGCTCCCCTTCATATCTTTTGTCCAACTCTCTATTATGCTGTTTATATAAATGGTTATACAAGTGGTTTTCCATCTGAGTAAGTCTGGCAAGTCCCTGGGGGACTTGAACATGAGGCCTGGGGCACACCAGCAGTGGGACATGACTGAAGTCCAAGTAACACGACTGGCTTCAGAGGGCTGAGTTAGCTCCCCACAGGTGGAAGGAAAGTCAGAGTGAAGGTCACTGCTTGGGATTTTGTTTTCTCTGTGGGTGGAGATTACTGCTACAAATCCCTAGAGGAGAGGATTGTAACCGGCTCTGTCCTTCCTAGATAACAGGTCCACAGGGACAGCATAAGGTGGCATGATTTGCATAAGTCACCTAGGAGGTTGTGAAGCCAGAGGGAGAAGCAGAATTCCTGGGGAGTGTGAGAGGCCAATGACAGAACCAGCTTTTGTGAGCAGATATTTGTTTTTCGAATAGGGTCAGTCTCCTGAGACATATAAAAATGGCTCTGAAGCCCCAAGTCCCTTTTTGTTCAAGTGGAGAAGTCACCCAGGTTGCTCTCAGTGACCAATGGATCCGAAATTTCAGGCAAATATTTAGCTTACTCAAAACTACCTCAACGCCCTATACCAACTTGTTAGAGTGAAATTATCCTGACTCCATTGACTTGGACAAAAAAATCTCTCTATTACCCACACACAAAAATATGATGATGATAATATTGAGAGGAACAAAAACAGGAAAGGAAATTCAAACAAGATTCTCACCAGCAACTAATGAATGGCTTTAATTTTTTCACATTTCAGTCTAGTCTTGTTAGCAGTGACATAATAACATAGTGTAATCATAGTATAAATGCAATTGAGTATTCCATTCTGTTATCTGATTACATAACATTTGCATAATGTTTACAATGATCCTGTAACATACAGTTGCATACTGTTTCACTGCATGAATGTGCACACTTAGGCATTTAGATTATTCTTATTTGTGTCTATTTTAAGTATCTTTGAGTCCTGTGCTTCTGTCTCTGTTCTCTTATTTCCCTTTGGCTAAATTTCCAGGAAGGAAGTATACCTGTTGGCTTTCTCTTTCTACAAAGCTGGTCTTAAGATACAACTGTATAACTTAAATCTCTTTCTCCTTTATAAAATTTCCAATGATGTTACACTATAGAGGAGCTAATTGTGCTTCTAAGAGTATAGCCTGATACTCGCTCCAGTGCACAGACTCTTAATGGCGTAGGCAGTGCCCAGGAGGGGAGTAAGGCTTAATGGAGTTGTAACTGCCTGGGGCCAGCATCCTGGATCTAGTACTGAGCACAGCTCTTACCTGTGGTGGGAAAAACTAGGGAAGGAAGGAATGAGAAAGCAGAGTGACACTTACTTTCACTGCAAGTGATGCTAAAATTTTTTTACTTTCATATTTTGATGCCTTCATTTAGGAAGATTAATAAGTTTATGGAACAAAGCTGGCTCCCAAAAATACTCCCTAGAAAAATAAAAAGTCTATTTACCTTTTGACATCTCAACATTGAAAAGTCGTAAGCATTTATCTGTCGCTGGAATTTCTCAGTAGTATGCTCATCCTAGGATTCTGATGAAAAAGAGATGGGGCCCTGTGGGAGGCAGGGAGAGGAAGCAGTTATCATCCACTAAGATTTTTTTAGGAGGATTTCTCCTTTTTCCTTTCCTCACCAAATCTGGACATGCCAGCAAAAAGGCTGGAGTGAGCCTCATGTCCCTGAGGACTCGAGCCTGAGGACTTCAGGGACGTCCAGGAGCATTCTGACCAGGAGTGGCAGGCTGGTCAGAGGGCTGCTAGTCTGGATAATATGCACATGCAGCCTCGCAGGAGCTGGTGCTGCCTGTGGGCTGTGTGATTTCTGGTCATTTCAAACTCTGTCACTGGAGCAGCTCTGTGCAAGGCGCACCTAGCCGGACCAGGATAGGGAAGGCTGAGTTGGGCACGTGCAAGCATTCCTGGTCCAGCTCCTGATAGGGAAGCTGGGTTCCTGTACCTGGGCTCTCCAGGAACCAAGGATGGAGCATGAGGCCTCAGAAAGCACAGAGAGGTGGGTAGTTTTTGAAGATTTTCCCAAGGGATTGGAGGATGAATGTTTGTTCACTGACTGGCAGAAACCTCAAATTATTCAAGCTGCTTTGGTGGGGGGTTTTCATCTTTCTCTCTTCTTCCTGATTTTCTTTTTTATTTTTTTTAAATATATATTTTTAGTTGTTTTTTTTTTTTAGATGGACACAATATCTTTATTTTACATTTATGTGGTGCTGAGGATCAAACCCAGTGCCTTGTGTATGCTACGTGAGTGCTCTACCACTGAGCCATAACCCCAACCCTTCTTCCTGATTTTCTATGGCTTGTTCTCTATTTCCTTCCCCAGAGAAACAGTGAGTGGGTGGGCAGAGAAAATACAGGATTAAAAAACATCTATGTGGCACACACCTGTAATTCCAGCAGCTCGGGAGGCTGAGGCAGGAGGATAGTGAGTTCAAAGCCAGCCTCAGCAAGGCACTAAGCAACTCACTGAGACCCTGTCTCTAAATAAAATACAAAAAAGGGCTGGGGATGTTGCTCAGTGATTAAGTGTCCCTATGTTCAATCCCTAGTACCAAACCAAACCCAACCAAACCAAAAATAAATAAATAAATAAAATTTAAAACAAATTTATGGATTCTGACTGGATTCTAGTGCTCTGTGCCAGGTCTCAGATAGTCACAAGGTGGTCTCATGGCTTCTGGGGAATGGCAAATGGGGTAGTCATCATGCTTTAACATTGTGTGTTTCCCTCCATCCCCAGGCTGGTGGGCCTGACTGGGCCAGGAAAAGGAGGCATTGTCTCAGATGTAATTGGTAGAGGCCCTCAGAGGAGTCCAGAGAAATGCCTCTGCTGGGGCCTGAGTTCTCAGAGCCAGACGGATCTGTAGTTCTCAAAATGTGTTTTTTTTTTTTTTTTTTTGTATAAGGGATGGAACCCAGGGGCACTCAACCCTGAGCCACATCCCCACTCATTTTCTGTATTTTATTTAGAGATGGGGTCTCACTGAGGCTTAGGGCCTTGCTGAGCTGCTGAAACTGGCTTTGAACTTGAGATCCTCCTGCCTCAGCCTCCTAAGCTCCTGGGATTATAGGCGTGCATCACCACACCTAGCTTCAACTTTCGGTTTTTTGTTTTTCCAGTACTTGGGATTACCCAGGCCTCACACATATTAGGTAAGCACTCTCCCACTGCTCTACACATCTAGCATTTTTTATTTTGAGACAGTCTTGCTAAGTGTCTGAGACTGGCCTTGAAGTTCTGATCCTCTTACTTCAGCCTCCAGAGTAGCTGGGATCGCAGGTGTGTGCCACACACCTGATTTCAATCAGTACTTCTTTCATTTTATGGCTATGTCTTCTCCATCAGACTGGGACTCCTTCAGAGAGAAGCCCAGTTGAGCACAGGGAAGGTGGGCCAAACTTGATGGAGGTAGGTTTTCCCTGGGCCTCCAGCTGCTCACATCTCTGGAATACCCCCACTGCTCAGAAGCATTGCCTTGTTTATGCAGGGCCTGCCCTCCTTCCAACCACAGATTAAGGCCTGCCCTCCTTCCAACCACAGATTAAGACAAAGCCAGGCAGAGAAGAGCTACTTAGGTGATGAGCTGGCTATTTATAAACAGCAAGTATTTCCCAGGCTACATTTTTTTTCTCTGCTTGGGGGTCACCAGAGTTTATAGAGTCTTGACTAAGATAAGGCCTGTGTATTAGCTTACTCCCCACAGACAAGCCACAAAGAGCCTGGACAAATTATCACATCAGAGTTTTTTCCAGAGAAATAAACAATTTAGTAGATGCACCAACAAATCAATAAAGGAAGACATATGGAAATGAATGGGAAGGAAAGAAGTCATAGGAGTATAACTGACAGTGAGTCAACCCCAACCTAGGCTAGCTGAGGAACCTTGGCAACTTGCTTGACCTTTCTGAGCCTCTTGTGCCATCTGAGAACTGAGAATATAAGTGTGGGATGTGGTGCAGATATAGGTGTACACATGGAGCACTTGGAATACAGTAAGGTCTTAGCATTTCCTTTAAGATTGCTTTTTTGAGTAGTCACTAGACTTAAAGAATTGCAAGTATCAAGGGAAGACACAGGAGGAGGCGGCATAGCCTCATCTTCAGAGAACCCCAGTCAGAGGAGACACTGCCCTGCCCTGTTGAGACCAGCAGGGCGACCTGTCCACTGGGGTTAGGGAGGTAAGGTGGGAGACCAGGCTGTCCAGAAGGCCAATACGCAGACTAAAAGCAGCTAAGAGCCTCTGCTGGCCTCACCCCAGGTCTGCAGGCCTGGCCCTCATTTCACATACATGTGTAAAATGTGTGAAATGTATAAGGCAGGTGTGCAGGGTTTACCCCAGTTTAGAGACACCAGGAGGGCACATAAGTATCAAAATAAGGATAGATGATGGTGGTTAGGAAATGGTTGCCGGGACAGGGAGCAGGCAGAGGGAACTTGTGCTTTCCTAGGATTTTTTTTTTTTTTTTTTTGGTTTGAACTCAGGGGCACTTGGCACTCAGCTACATCCCCAGACCTATTTTGTATTTTATTTAGAGTCAGGGTCTCACTGAGTTGCTCAGTGCCTTGCTAAATTGCTGCTAAATTGTTGAGGCTGGCTTTGAACTCTTGATCCTCCTGCCTCAGCCTCCTGAGCTACTGTATTACAGGTGTGCACCACTGCACCTGGGGCTTTCCTAAGAATTTAACCAGAAAAGCCAATAGGCAGGAAGGCCCTGAGAGGCATGAAAACTGAGGC